GTTGGAATCCTAGGTACGTTGCCCCCAAGTCTGTGAACTTGGGTGAGTTACTTAATTTTTCTGGACCTCAGTTTCTTCATTTGTGGGAATGGGAAAATAAAAAGATTTATCTTGCAGCATTGTTCAATGGGAAGATTGAATAATGTATGAGAAAAGACTAAATAATGCAGCAAAAGAGTCAAAGTTTCTTTTCTGTTCCTCTCCTTTCCCCATTAAATCTGTACATTTCCCCTTTGTGACAACCTTTTCTTTTCAACACTGCTCTGAGTTCTCACTTACTTGGAAACATCCAAGATCTGAGTAGGGTTTGGACAAAGAGTGCATAGTGTGATTTACCAATACCTCATAACCATCTTCTATCTAACTCTGGGTTCCCCCAGAAGCAGATGCTAAGATAATGATCTGAATGCAAGTAGTTTGTTTCGAAAGCGATGCCAGGAACCGCTGGAAGGAAGTGGAAAAGAGAGACATGGGAGGGAAGGAAGCCAACATGAGGTATGTCCATAAGCAGGTTATTGCTACAGTCAACTGGGATTCAAATCTGCTGGGGACTCCAGGAGACTGTAAAGAACCTGCCCCAGAGCTGTCCCATGGGGGCATGGGTGCTGGGGTATTTATCCAACAAGTGCTGTCAGTCACTGGTTGGGGGCTATTGGGAGAGGGGTGGGGATGTTAACTCCCCAGCATTCCTGCCCGTCCCACACTGAGTATCCAGAGAAAGTCCTCAAGTATAGGGTCACATCTGTGTGTAGGAGAAAGTTTCAGGCATGTAAGAGAATGGTGAGCTTCAAGGGACTATGAACGGGGCAGTGATGGTGTACCCTAAAGATGGTGGGGGAAAGGAAATTAGGGAGGCTTGCTGTGAGGTGGCCGAAGAAGAACTGATGCATCTGAATTAGAGTGCTGGCAAAGAATATTGAATATACCATGGACTAGAAGAATGAACAAATCTGTGTTGGAAGAAGTACAGCCAGAATGCTCCTTAAAAGCAAGGATGCGGAGACTTCATCTGATGTATTTTGGATATGTTATCAGGAAGGCACCAGTCCTTGGAGAAGGACATTATGCTAGATAAAGTGGAGGGTCAGCAAAAAAGGGGAAGACTCTTGTCTTAGTTAACTAGTGCTCCTATAACAGAAATACCACAAGCGGATG